GCCACTAGGATGATAAGGCGGTGTATTATATATTAATTTTTTCTGATCATATATTTTCATGATTTATTATATATTTTATTTCTCCTTCTTTTTATATAAATATGTCTAAACAATGTTTAAATAATTTAATATCGCCAATCATATTATTTTACTGTTATCGATATTTTTCCAATGGCGTTCAAATTAGCAGGAATTGTTAGCTAATTGTTGACTATAAGTTTTATACAACCTCCAAACTCCCTGCACTACAAGTGGCGTTACAGCGTAAAGCGCTCCGCAATTGTTCACCCGCAATTGCTGCACTATTTCGTTCTAGAAATGCCTTTTTTGCGATTTTTGTTTTCGCCGAAATTCAGCAGCATTAGATGTCACAGCGAGCGGTTGGTCATTTTTGTGTTGAAATGTAGTCAGACAACTTTGTTAGAAATTCGCCCATATAGAGGCTGGCAAAAGTTTTGGAAGCGGGGCTATTAGGAGCATGAATCTGTAGTTATTTAACTGAATAAAAGTTGTATGTTGTTGTAGCAAGTACCAGTGTGTGGCTATTTTTTAATTAATATTGTTTTGATGCTTATTCAGGCCTGCTGCTTATGGACGCAGTCTTATGTTGTTCACCATCTACAACATTTTGCGATCCGCGTCTTTTTTCTCGCTGCAAATCCATTGATTTTCCAGCACTTTACAATTTCTAATGAAGGTCAGAGTATATTATAACATATGGACTCTAGTAAATGCTTCTATATAACTTACATGTATATGTGCGCAGATGAGCCTCGTTTTACATAGCAGTGATACACTGCTCGCTTGTGTGTTTTAAAATTTTGACCTTGAATGCTATAAACTGGTTAAGTTTTCTAGCATCATGCCGTAAAACTTAAAAAGGTTAGTGTGACCCACGATTGAATCTCTCCAGCAACAGATCTAATCCAAAAAACAGTTGGAGTAGAGAAGTTTAATTTTACTGCAACAGATCTATTATAGGTCTTCCTGCTTATGCATGTAACGTTGAAAAGTTAGGCGTTTGAAATTCTAGAAGAAGTGAGGCCTATATAATTCATTTACAATTGCAATTTTTCAGCCTCTATGTGATATAAATTTATGATGAATGCCACACACCAGTATACATACTACCAGGCGGTTAATAATGACAAATGAAATTTTGCCATTATTTAACCCCTGATAATTACATGCTATTCATATCTATGATATACGATTGATCATAATACCACCTGCTAACACAGTGTTTCTGTCTTTGACGGTAGGACATTGATATTATGAAGTCATAATGGTTTTATTAGATCAGTGTTAAACTTTACAGTTATTTACAAAAGGTTAGGCCACAGGTAATTATGTATGATTCAAACACCGAAAAAATCCAAACATAACACAGTCGGTTGTATACCTTAAGATTTTCTGAAGACTTGTTTCAATTCATTCCTAGTCAGTTCCACTATTAGAAAGAAACTGTAATACAGTTAACTTCGTCGCTCCCTCTGCTCTCCTCCTCTCTCCTTCCTCCTCCCACTTCCCCTCCTCTCTTCTCACCTTCTCCCGCCTCTTCTCCTTCACCCACGTTCTCCCCTTATTCTCCCTTCTCCTCCTCCACTCATTACGTTATTTACGGTATTCTTAACGAGTGTTGAACTGTTTGTAAAATAAATCAATAAGCCAAGCAATCGCCGCTTACAGTTTTTTTTTGCTTTACCGCGAAGCAATTCTTTTTGTATTCTTCCGGTGTAAGAAAGTAGGTATAGAGTTTCTCAGATGAAAAATAGTGGTGCTTTAATTTTACTGAATGTCATGATAAACGTTACGTGGCATGATCGAATCATTACAACGTTCTGAATACCAAAAGATTAGGATTATGCATTCCGGGGACCGAAACCTGGTCATTATCAGTTTATCAATATTATAAATTATTAATAATTCCATTATAGGTTTATTGGTCAATTGGCTACTAGTACATGACTACTGCTTTTTCTTGTTTCTACGCAAAAAATATTGAGCATATACTAAAAATATGCAACGCACATTTTTTGAAAGTGAGCCTCTTTGCTAACATATCTATTAGCTAATATCATTTTACTCTTTGTATCGCACTATATTGATATTAATCCAATTAACATCTAATAGCTTAAACAGATAGTTCACACAGTGCGCATAATAATGTGGTTTCAGAAATTAACACAGTAACAAATTTTTATATTACATTTACAATGTTAATAGAAGTAATGTTTTACTTCGTGCATCTATACGTAACATAGTTTGAGTTTGCAGTGTTCAGCGAGGGTTTAACACTTTAATTGAACTTAAATTAAAATCGTGTTCTTCTAAATATTGTAGTCAGGTTTTCTTTCCGTCCTGAAGCCTCGGTGGGTTCCTCACTCGTCGCGCTTCTGTCTGATAGCTTAATGCCAGTGAGGCGCAACCTTGCAAGACTTCCACTACGATACATAGATTCCAGAAAGGATAAGACGGGTCTCAGGTTCGCCAGTGTATGCGGTCATGAGAAACCTGCGAGCATCCATATGTTCACGTTACTCTATTTCCAAGAGATCTATTTTAAAATTATAAATTCAATAGGAGTCAAATTTCTAAGAGCATAAGATCATCTATCCCTCATTATGAGTCTTATTACAAAGATCTATAACTCGTCATGCTCCTGAAGTCGCTTAGATTAGCTATCAATAGGTATATATCGGTTTACTGACAGCTAATGTGTTTACCGGCTGCCACTGGTCCAGTCAAATGCTATGCGCCAAATAGTGCCGAACATAGATGAACCATTGGATGATTTGTTATGACCGGAATAGTCTCTAATATAGGTGTTGCATGCTCACTCGTACGCACATTAGTAGTTTCCGTACAGCACACAGCAAAGTGCAAACGCCACACCGTCTCCGCACGCGAGAACATGAGGCTTGATGATGGCGTCAACAAAATTCGTGTGAAGCCGAGGACCAGATGCACGTGGACGCACATCGGCCTGTTTCCTACGGCCTTGCCACTAGGAGCGGCTGATGGCATTGCTAACTTGGCAAATGGTCAGCATTGAGCAGTTACGCGTGAGACTCATGCCCCGCCTGGTGGCCAACGAGACGCAGTATCGTTAATTCAGTGCTGGACCCCAATTACATACGCAAGGTCTATTAAGAAGTAAGCCGTTAATTTTATTCATATCGGCTGATCTGCATCATGAAACGGGCATTGTTGTTTGTTCTGCGCTTCTTTAGTTCTTTTTGGCGTTTAGGTATTCCCCGAACATGGCAGCAGCCTGCTACAGTTTGTAGATACATTGCCACCTAGAATGAAACATCGCTCATCCATGCCAAGGTGTACATGCTGTAGGTGGGACGACACACAGTAGAGGACGCTCACGCGATCCAACTGCTGATGCTGCGCTGTATGAGCCCGTTGCGATGCGGAGCGTTTCTTTTCGAAGTAAAATGCGCGATTATCTTGGAGGGTGAGATGGATCATTGACATTGCGCTACAACCCTTGCGAACAGAACAGATTGTCTAGCAGGATACAGCGTCTGTTAATAACGCAACAAGATGTCTCACTTTGAATATCCAATGACCATTAATATTAAAAATGCTATATAATGAGCATAATCTGTTAAGCCAAGCAATAATACCTAATTCTCATTAAAATGACAATAGTGTTCCGTATCGTGATATGATAATTATATATATATATTATATATATTATATTTATATATCATATAGGATGGATAGATAGTTAGAATAAATGGATAAATATGAACATAGATAGATAGATAGATAGATAGATAGATAGATAGTATGATAGATAGATGATAGATAGACTAGAGATAATAGGATAGATTAGATAGATAGAATTAGATAGATAAGATAGATAGAATAAAGATAGATAGATAGAAGTATGATAGATAGATAGATGATAGATAGATAGATAGAATAGATTTAGATAGATAGATAGCCATAGATGCATAGATAGAGATTAGATATGGATAGATAGATGAGTGAGATAGATAGATAGATAGATGAATTATAAATAGATAGATAGATAAAATAGATAGATAGTTTAATCAATATACAACACACACAATATATATATATATACTAATATATTATATCATTTTTTATTTACATGTGAGCCAGTAAACATATTATCAAAGAGATAAAGATTTGAGGATTTTACTTCCTGTAGATGGTTTATAGTATTTACAGTGAAGCGATAGGTTGTTGGATTACTTTCATTTTATATTTGCAATGCGGATGAGGATTTTGCTCTCAGCTCTGTATATGCTTTTCTCTTGAATTATCCACCATTTCGCTCATCCTCACTACTGTCAGTAAGTAGACATTCTGTTTTTATGCCGCATCATACATAATAGTTTTTCTGCTCGTAGCTGAGACACATCCATAACGCAGCCAGCATCCTTCCGTCATACTATCCACGGTAGCTGTATACCTCAGCCAGTGGGGCGCTGCCGATAGCTTCGAAAAGGACTGATCGCAAGGTATAGAGATTAGAATACCGATAAAAATCTAATAGGATTTGCTTCTGTTTATTTCCTTCGCTCTGTTTGTCTCTGTCTCCTCTCTCTCTCTCCCTCTCTCTCTCTTCCCTTCTCGCTCTCTCACCCCCTCTCTCCCTCTCTCTCTCTCTCTCTCTCTTCTACCACACATACACACACTGACACAACATACATTCGGCACTCACCTCGTCCTACATTCTCTCCTCTCTCTCTCTCTCTCTCTCTATCTCTCTTCTCTCTGCTCTTCTCGTCTCTCTCTCTCGTGTCGCTCGTTTCGGCTTTCGTGACACCCCTTCGCTCTTCATCTCTCTGATCCTCAAACACACACACAACACACACACACACACACACAACACACACACACAC